ATTCAATGTGTCAAAGAAACCGAGTCTATGAGGTGTGATTTTTATTAAATATTCAACAGAACACAAATAAATTTATGATAAATTCATGAACGTAAGTCTATACTGAGGTAAGAGGTATGTGATTTCCAAGCCATTTTCCATTTTCAATGGCTAAAAAATTCAGGAGACAAAAAATGAAATGTATATATTGTGTGACCCAATTTTATTTTTTTAAAAAGGCAATGCCTGTCTCTATCGGGACATGGTACATCTCGGCATTGTGTGAAGTAATAAAATTAGTTCACGAGTATGTTGAGTATTTTATTATTTATTTAGTATTTTATTGCTATTTCATTAAAGATGATTGCCTCGTTGGCCGAGTGACGGCAAGGGGTCTCGGGTTCATCCCGGTATATGGCAATGGGCTCACCCCCTATTACATGGGACTTATAACATAAATAGTGAAAAGTGGATGTTATATTGATTTCAGCGGCGACGCAACGCGGTTATGTGTTTCGGCCCTAAGTGCCAAAATGTGCATCTCTGCCTACCCCTTCGGGGATAAAAAGGCGTGACGTTATGTTCATTAAAAATGACTAAAAAATTAAGTTCCAATCATAACCGCTATAACTTAGCCGATTGTGTTTAAGTAAAATTATATTTATGTACAGGTGTTCGCAGCTATCAATTATGCGATTATAGATATGCTCAGAATTACTTATTAAAAAAATAAAACAATTAAAAATTGCAGCAGCTTACAATACTTTTTAAAACCCACTCGAGTATGAAGTTGTAGATTCAATTTTAATAATTGGAGCTCACCAGATTTTCACTCATTCATAAAGCCACTAAACTTTTCCGAATACAAAGTTTGTAGTACATTCAATTATGAACTCTGTTTTCTAGTAGAAACGAGTTACATTTGTTTCTATTAAAACATTAAGCACTAGGCATTTCTCTTATTCATTTAAATCTCGTGTGTCGTCAGTATCCACGTGTAATTTATTTGTAGACTGGTGAAATTAAATTCTATGTAAATCAATTTTGTGCTTTGTGATAATCCTCATACAGTGGTTTTTCCACGTGTGAGTTGGCTTTAGGAATAGGTTGGTTTGACCGGAAAGATACCAGAGTCTCATTGAAAACTTAGGTAAAACAACGCTTGCGTCGTATTTCACCAAGTGAGTGAGGTTAACGGACGACCAATCTCGCCTCCCCCAAAGGACGGCAACGCAGTCCTTTGGTGTAATCCATCTACATATGTACTCTATCTTATAAAATACATACAATAACTATTTAGAACATATATACATAACATCGTACCTTTTATCCCCGAAGGAGTAGGCAGAGGTGCACATTACAGCACTTAATGCTGCTATTGCTACTGTACAATGTAACACCCACATTTCACTATTTATGTTATCAGTCCCATGTAAAAGGGGGTGAGCCTATTACCATTTATACCGGGCACCATTCCAGACTCTGTGCTACTATTGAGATTTTTTTTAAAAAACCCAGTGTTACATTGCCCAACCCGGCAATCGAACCTGAAACCTCTTGTCTGGCAGTCGCACCTGCCACCACTTTCATTTATAAGACGTAAATTATATTGTAATCAATTTCTTTATTAGAATACTTACTTGTTAGTCTGTTGTGAATTTGTATGGGCCGAGGTCACAGAGTATGTGTTTTACATATTTTTTGCTAATTTATGTGGAAAATAAGGGGCTCATATTGGATTTCTGGATATATCTTGGAAAATAAATTAATTGGAATTTTTGTTAGATATAAGACTTAGATTATATTGCGTGTATGTATGTATTGTTTGTCATGCTCCAAATTATTTGAAACTAAGTTTGTGTACCATACGATCCGATTATACTTTCTAGAATTTCAAATTTAATACTTATTTCATTTTAAAGAATAAAATTAAATATTCAAATACATATTATATTCATAGTTTTCAAATTCAAAGATGCGTCTGATCGTTAGACATTCAAATATCATTCTGCATTCATTAGTAGTTGTTAGAGTAATGGAACGCAACCAGTATTAGTTTGGCCTGTTAATGTTTGGTGGCGCCACTGTACTTCCCTCTCCTCACGCCATTGTTGTAATATTGTTACTTGTTATACTTTTCTCTGAATAAACCAATATCTTAATATATTCCACACGCGTTTTAATTGCCACAATCACGCAACTTTCCTTCAGTAGTATTAATGTTAGATACAAGAGTATAAGACGAGAGACGGCATCGACGACAACGCATAATGAAGTGGTTTGTTAAAAACAGATTTGTGTTGTTTGCCTTGCAATTCTATTTAAAGCTACTTATTTATATCATTTCTCTTGACTGAGAACACCATAACCTTGTTACCTGTTCCCTTTAAAAAGTCACTTATAATATAGATTTAACCAAATTGCCATGAATATAGTATCCAAACTTACAAAGTGTTCAAAAACATGAACACGATATAAAAATCAATCTAATTGAATGCCTTAAAAATTTGTATGATTTATTTAGATAGGCAGTGACAGAGAGCTGCATTGAATAACACTGTAAGGTAATCAGTTATCATTTTAGATAACCGATTATAATATATTGTAAACAGAAGTCCATATCTAAACTCAGTTTATAGGTACTATATTAAAATGATATGCGAATATTGTCCATCAAAGTAGCGTCATCCTCTTGTCGCAACAGCGAGGCGCAGAATGATTGCCGCGGCAGATGGAAGCCTGAAAATAATCGAAATGTTCATACAAATTCGATTTATACTAAAGTTCTTGAGAAAAAAATATATTAATATTTAAATAAACAATTAATCAAAAGGTTTTTAATGAAAACTGATGTTACGAATTACCAGAATCTTTAATTTTTTGTTAATGTTGCAGAAAACAGTGATGAGGTCTTTCCTCGACGACGCCGCGGCGGTGACTGGCATTGCAACAAGCATCGAACAGCTGTATTGTGCACTATACTACGTTCAAAGTTTGCTAGGTATAGCGTTTACGTTAACGTTTCTCATAATACCTTAAATGTCGCACGTCCCATTGACATTGTTAAGCGACAGGGATTGACAAACAAGTAACTTAGTGTACCAGCATTGGAAGTACTATGTTTTAAATAGTTTTGGTAATTGTAATTACTAAAATCAAAGCGTTATCATCCAACTCGAGAATTTGAAAAACAAAATTGTCAGAAATCATAATCATAAAGAGGGATTGGTAAAGAGCTTTTAAGATGAAGTTGGTGAACAGTAACGGTTTGAGGATCACTTGCAGAGAACTAAGTGTTGTAGCGCAGAGGTGACTAAACTAATAAACAAGATCCCCATTGTTATATATTACTTCGTGCACTTATTTTTTCAATAATAATGTTCAGCACTAGTTATAAGCTACCTCTGTTTTAAGAATACATCAAGCTGGCATTTCTTGAGAACAGCTTTACAACTGGAAAGCGCCGGTCGGCTTATGTACGCTATTTCAATGTACATAGCATTATCTGATGTCTAGAGGTACTTTATAAAAATATAGCACAATTTTATAACACAAATACTTTATGAATGTTCGTTTATTTATTTTATTGAACATCGTCTAACTACTGTTCAGAAAAAGTATAAAAGTGTTTTAATTTTATTTAAATGCCTCAGATTGTGCTCGTTATAAACTTGCAACAGAGAGAATTTTACTAATAGAGCGCAGATCGCTGACTGGTCAACGTATGATGGTCTTACTAACAATAAGAGTACACATAAAAAGTGTTATTAAACGATGAACAAATGAAAAAATCTTCAGCAGGTCACTGCTTTATTTGTGATTTTTTTTTAATCGTTTAAAGGAAAATATAACATTGATCGTTTAAGGAAGATATCGTTTATAACTTTATCACTATAAGTCCTAAGAGCTATGTCTCACCGAAACACCATGGCGGCGCATCCAGTAACCCCGACCAATAAAATGTATATAGCTCTATACAGCCACCTACTGCTTCTATGCCAGCATTGGAGATCTCTTTTGATACATTCGCAGTGTGGCGTCTGGACTTTGGTGCCTGTATGGTGTCCAGTTTGGTACCTTACATACACCACGGTGGCGTCACTGGTCATGGCATCCCGGTGAAACAACCACAGAATGTTATATCCTGGAAGTATTTCTTATCTGAATAATCTTATTGAAGTCATCATTTGTTAATAAATAGAATTCAATTACAGAGTAATTACGTCAATATTCTCTTTATTATCCTCTCATAACTATTACTTTTTCTAAGAACACTATGTAGCGCAACTGTATAATCCCCTTAAAGGTCACTTAGCATTATGATAGAAAGCTTTGTTCCTGTGTGCATTAGATATTACTAATTAATTAGCATCCATTAGTCGGCCATGAACATATAGATACCTTTAATACATATAATAATAGTGTTGTGTTTCAGAGCCGTGAACAAAGATACTATATATTTTATTTCTTAATAATTGTGCAGCAGACAGATTTCCTCTTACCTATTAGTTACTAATAATGATAATTAACTGTCAGCAATGCGTATCAATTTAATCATGTCAACAGACAATAATTACAGCGTTCATTAAGATCCCTTGTTGGACATAGGAGTAATCAACTTGGATATTGCTACGGGCCTATTACTGTATCGATTATGTTGTAAACGAAAAATTCGGAGCCCTGAACTCGATAAATAGGATATAAGGTTCTATTAACTAAATTTGTGGTTATCTCTAGGGAAATTTGGCCATCAATATATTGGACAAAGTCTTCAAGTGGTAAATACTCCCACAATTTCTCACAAGCTTTTTTCACTATTCTACCTTCTGAAAATGCTTCTGATACTTTCTATTATCTATCTAAAATGAAGTTGAAGACGTAATAGACTCTATGTATAGTTCGTACAATATTTATTTTAATTTTAAATGGTATTTATAATATACTTCAATATTAAAAATTTAATGTATCATAAAATTGATTTTAAAAAATCGTATAAACATAAAATGATTGAATGGTGAGTATTTATTTTACATTTTGCCCCATCGTGGACACCAGGTCGCTATAAAAGTAAAAACGGCTGGTCTCTCTGGAAGACAATAGCCGAGGCTCTCCAGTAACGATGGAGTCTTCACCACAGTGTCATGGAAGTCTTGATAGTTTATAATTCCATCCAAGTCTGGGTCCATTCTCTTCAACATAATATCCACAAGTTCCTGCAGCAAAAGTAATTTGAATAACGTAAAATATTAGGTCGACGATTGAAGGTTATCCGTGAAATCTGAGAACTGATAAGAACAAGCCAACATATAATAAAGACAGCTGTCTGTCTAGTGTCTTGCTTGGTTCGACGAAACTAAATACTCCTTAGTTGAAACTGTTATAAACCAACAATTGGCATGTTTAAGTAGTCGTAACTTATTTTCAAGGGGCTTCTCCTGGTAAAATGAAATAGATCTGTTATAGCTAACATTCGAATTTCTGTTGTACTAACGAAACTTGTACTGAAGCTTCCACGTAGTTACGACATGAAACATCCACTGGGGACTATGTGCATACATAAGGTTTCCCGCGGGGAAATCCTGTGCTACGCCGTAGCTCTATGCTACGCCGTAGCTCTTCGCTACGCGCTCACTGGTAGCGGTCCTAGGCGACCTGTACACTATCAGACCTAAAATACATAAACTAGCGAAACTTTACAGAGTAACAGATGTTACTCACTGGCCTGACCATTTTATTTGAAAATACATTCGTCGAAATGTTGTGGGTGAAATATTAGTAGAGAGTAAAAGTGATAAGTGGCACGTCTTTGTTTCCAACAAAACGTACACTGTTAAATATGTCCTGTCAAATTTAATATCAATGTATTCTGAGTAAAGTTGTAATCCACACAATTTGTTTAATTATAAAAAAAATTCGTGCCTAGACTGCATCGTTGGCCGAGTGGTCGTAAGTGCGACTGGCGGCAAGGGGTCTCGGGTTCGATTCCCGGGTCGGGCAAAGTATTACTGGGTTTTTAAATATTCTCAGTAATAGCACGGAGTCTGGAAATGTGCCCGGTATTTGGCAATAGGCTCACCCCCTATTACATGGCACTCATAACATAAATAGTGAAAAGTAGGTGTTACATTGTACAGTGGTATAATGTGCACCTTTGCCTACCCCTTCGGGGATAAAAGGCGTGAATGTTATGTTTATAATAAATATATTCTTATTTATTTATTAAGTTTGCTAAGACGAAACATTCATTGAGACGTGTTAGCTAGCTTAAATTATTACCATTTTAAAAAGAGCATTCCTTTTAGATACTCTCTAATGAAGCCTTCAACCTACTTTTGATATTGTTTAAGTTTACTAGACAATTTGAAACAGAGCGACCCGTTTGCGGTTTGAGATCCAGTGATCTACCCGCATTCTGGTGGGACCACAGATGAAATTAGATTTTTGATTCTGTTTACTTTTAAAAGGAACTCAGGCCTTGTAATAGAGTCGTTACATTGATAGCTACAAATATTTTAGTTTATTTTTTTTATTTTATATTTTTTTAATAAAAAATTTCTATAAAAACCTGTCATGACAATTTTACTTGCTACAGATATCCGTAAAACAAACATATTTTTTATATTCAATAATTATTCTGGTGTTCATAAAAATCTAAAATCTTGAACAACATGGTCATTCATAGCGTTCGTGCTATGAATGGCCATGTTTTTAATCTATCCAGGATTTTCTATTGAAATAAAATCAAAGATACTTCAATAGAGATGCCAATTAAAAAACCGATATGATGCTACATCATCAATGGATCATACAGAACTCATAATAATCATTGGAAATGCCACAGCTAGTGGAAAAAATATGACAAGTTACTAGTGTATGCTTCAGTCATGGTGATTAAATACGCAATATTTTTCTCTATATCTGATTGCTATTAGTAAAAAAATAATATATATTTCTTAGAATGTCACTTTTTATGGAAGAAACAGAGCTGATGCATTAATGGTCATTATTTTGTGTGACTGCCTCGTTAGCCGAGTGGTCGCAAGTGCGACTGCCGGGCAAGGGGTCTCGGGTTCGATTCCCGGGTCGGGCAAGGTATTACTGGGTTTTTTCAAACAATTTCAGTAGTAGCACGGGGTCTGGAATTGTGCCCGGTATATAGCAATAGGCTTACCCCTATTACATGGGACTTATAACATAGATAGTAAAAAGTGGGTGTTACATTTTACTACATACTCTATGTGCACCCAACTGACCTAATAATGCCAGTGGTGCAATATTTGGTAACTTCGGTGGAACTTAGCATCGTCCATCACGGCAGACGGCCCACCTGAGAGAGGAAGTAAGTCTTACTAGTTGTTTAGACTAACTTGCATGTGGTCAATATCATAGTAAAAGTACTATGAAATTGACCACATGCAAGTTAGTCTTAGTTAGAACCTAAAAAGGTTCAAACTTAACTTTGACATAATTTATCCTAACATCACGCCTTTTGTCCCCGAAGGGGAAGGCCTAGGTTCACATTACGGCACTTAATGCCAATGCACAATTATGTAACACCCACTTTTCAACTTTCTTATGAATACCATGTAACCGTTGGCGCGATGGTTGGGCAACTGGCTGCCGTAGAACGTGTCGCGGGTTCGATTCCCGCACGGAACAACTCTTCGTCTGATCCACAGGTTGTTTTTCCGAATCTGGGTGTCAAGTGTATGTGAACTTGTATGTTTGTAAATGCACTCATCGTGACTCGTCGTGAGTGCGTTTGCCCTAGCATCATTTAAAAAAAAAAGAATATACCGGCGTGCACTTTTCTAGACTTCGTGCTACTACTTAAAACTTAAAAAAAAAACTAGACTAAGTGTCTAGTTTCTCTACGAGCTATTTTTGTATGTGCGAGACCAGATGAGATATTTATCTATTAGTTTAATTTAGAGAGCCGCTGGGTACAACTAACATCTAATTCAGTAGAAATCATAGGAGAGGACATCTTGCAGCATGATCATGATGATGCGGAAGGAATGTACCGAATAATTCCAAACAATTTTATTTCATCGATTGAAAATAAAAATGAAGTCCTAACGAGACTGACCCGATCCACAGCAATACTTGAACAATATTCAAACTTAAAATGCAATTTTATTCAGTAAAAACTTTTATAAAACTTAAAAGAGAAAGACTAAGATATTGAACTATTCAAGTTCTTCGACCTGCTTAAGTCTGTCGGTCGAGTAAACAACCGGCGCGAGTTCGGACAGTGAAGCCACTGGGGTAATGTTATTATGGCTTAATCTAAACATGACAGAATTGTCATAGTCATAATCCCCTCAGGCTACAAAATGTAGAGATTAATGACATTTATCCGGTGGAAATGAGACAGAAATATTGATTCGAATGAATCACCGCAATTACTTTATTTCTATGCGTTTGTTTTCTTTTTATTATTTATGCTAAATATTGTACCTTGGGAATGATGAAAGTGATAAAATGATGCTATGATGAAACTTAGTTTTCATGCAATTTGAGGTCATTTATTTTGAGAGATTTAAGCCTTTAGTAAGCCGAAAACATAATAATTAATTCGGTATTTCTCAGGAAAGTTGTATAATATAAACATTTAAATCATTTGTATCATGTAAATGGCACATATTATGGCACGTCAGAATATGTCAAAAGAAAACTTTTAACTAATCTCAGCCATCGAGTGAAAGTATCAGAAATAAATTCTTGCTTAACTAGAACTAATTTATATATTTTTTCGCTCAAATTCACAAATGTAGGTCTTCAGTGAAGAAAGTTCTGAGATCTCATTACAAGTTTACTAACTAGAGGATACGGGAGCACTAGTCCTAGTACCAAAACACCTATTACCGATGTTCCTAGAACTTTGGATATAGTTTTGTATATCACCAATAAACATTTAAACCATAAATAATATTTTCAAATGTACACAGGGCACGTTGCATTTTTTGTAAGAGATAAAAATATCATTAAAAAATCGCACAATATCAATGGTATATAACATAAATTGTTTATTGTTATACCTTTCTTAAAATACATAAAATCGTATCCAATTCTGAGGAAATCATGTACATTTATTTTAAAATGCCAAGGACTTTAACCAATTAACACTTGTAACTTTAGCTGCTCAATCAACGGTTGTTTAAAATGTATAAAAGGTTTCATCCTGTTTGCCATTTGATCATTTACGGTTAACAACGAAACGGTCCGAAAAATATACCTACACACATGATATAAGATTTCATCAAAAGTACCCGCACAGAGACCATTTAATTAAGTACCCATCAAATATTTTTGACTGCCTCGTTGGCCGAGTGGTCGCAAGTGCGACTGGGCAAGGGGTTTCAGTAGTACCACGGAGTTTGGAATTGTGCCCGGTATATGGCAATAGGCTCACCCCCTATTACATGGGACTCATAACATAAATAGTGAAAAGTGGGTGTCACATTGTACAGTGGCATAACGTGCACCTCTGCCTACCGCTTTGAGGATAAAAGGCGTGATGTTATGTTATGAAAATATTTTGTGCCAAGTAAATTAGCAACCGTTGTCCACATAACATATTACTATAATTCATTGAAATCATAATAACATAAAAATCTTCTTTAATGTGGTGATTCATAGATCACATCACATCACATCAACGGCCTATAAAGTGGCCACTGCTAACCAAAGGCCTCTTTTCACACGGAGAAGATTTGAGCATTAATCACCACGCTTGCTCAATGCGAGTTGGCGATCTCAAAATTATATAAGTCCAGGTTTCCTCACGATGTTTTCCTTCACCGTTTGTCAGTGATGTCTAAATAAATAATCTTAGAAAGTGTCACATTGGTACTTGCTGTTGGTAGGTTTCAAACCCTCACCATCATGCATGAGAAGCGGGCGTCTTAGACTTCCGACCCACCACGACAGATCACAACGTGCAGTCAAAATTAGTGGGCAGAGAAAGTTATTAGAGGAGTCTACATGTAAAACGAGAATTTACAAATTCTTATCGAAAAAAGGTAAACAACATAAGTGTAAAAAGTCCCAAAACGAAACTAGTCCAGTGTAAAGCTAGACTTCACCAATTGTACGACTTTTGAAAAAAAAATTGTAAGCAGGTAACAAACTGATAAAAAGCAAAAAAATTTTAGCGAGATCAATTAGATTAGGTTAGATTGAAACAGTCGTCAGTCGAATTTGCCTCAGG